TGTTTCTAACGATTCCTCTCTTTCTCTCTGTAAAAAAAAAAAAATCAATAATATGTATTATAAAAAATTAAAAAAAGAGGTGGCTCCTTGCCAGAGCCCTTTTGGCTCCGTGGATACAGCATCGGCCCGCGGACTGAAGATTTGCTGATTCAATTGCAGTCAAGGGTACATACCTCAGTTGCAGGCTCAATTTTGGATCTGGTTGGAGGCATGTATGGGAGGTGACCAACCCATGTGTCTCTCTCACATCGATGTTTCTCTCCCTCTATCTCTCCCCTCCCTTCTACTCTCTCTAAAAATCCATGAAAAATATCCTTGGGTGAGGATCAAAAAGAGAGAGAGAGAGTTGGTTCCTCTTGTGTATAAAGCTTCCCTAAGCCAGGGTAGGCAACACCTGCCCACTTATGTGGGATCAGCCACCTGGGGGTGTGAGCAGCAGCCCTGGACCCTCAACACAGATGTGTTTGGTGCTGTCCTGCTAAGATGCCGTTGTTCCTTGTCCTCCATCCTTCTACAGAGTTATGTGAACGTGGTGCCAAATTATAGCCTCCTGGATCCCAAGACTGCTTTCCGGGGACTGTGTTGAGTGGCTGCAGCCCTGGATCTCAGGGCATGTCTATCCTCAAATGTAATCCTCTATAAATAAAAGGGTAATATGCAAATTGACCCTAGCAGCAGAACGACCAGGTCGACCACTGGGCCAGTCATTATGAGCGCACTGGCCACCTCTCAGTCCCTTCCCCCAGCTGGCAGGCTCCGATCGCCCAATGGTGAATGGGAAACCGAGGGTGGGTAGCAGGGGGGAGGGGGTGGCACCAGGCCAAGGCCCCGTCCTGCCAGTCACCCCACACACAGAGGGCAACCTGCGGTGGGGGCAGGGGTGGTGAGTGGGCAGAAGGGTTGACCTCTTGGTTCCTGCCCATGGCCGGTAGGCTCCGATCACCTGGTGGGGAGCGGGGAGCTGGGGGTGGGTGGCAGTGGGGGGTGAGGGGTGGGGCCGGCTGCAGGCAGCCGGGAAGATGGCCCTGATCGCAGGCCAGGCCTATGGACTGTACCCATGCATGGATTTCGTGCACCGGGCCTTGGAGAGAACCACAGGGCAGGGACCTTCCCAGGACTCCTAGAAGCTGCAGCCACATGGAACCGAATTCTGCCACCGAGCACCAGGCGAGTCCCAGCTGAGACCACAGCCCCAACGGACACCTGGATGGCAGCTCTGAAAGAGCCCGAGGAGAGGATGGAGCTGTGCTGTGTCAGGCCTCTGACCCATGGAAACTTGGAGATAACAAGTTTGTGTTAATTCGTTATGCAGATATAGAGAAGGATGCTCAGCGTCAAGCTGCCAGCCATTTAACTCATGAAATTCCTGAATATGTAACCATCAGCCCCCAAGTGCCGTCCCCAGGGGCCCATCCCATTTAAGTAGTTTGGACCAGCCAACCCAGTAAGTGGTCGTGTCCTCACAACCTAGAGACCATTAGAAAATAGTCTGTGTTTCGCCGAAACCGGTTTGGCTCAGTGGATAGAGTGTCGGCCTGCGGACTGAAAGGTCTCAGGTTCGATTCCGGTCAAGGGTACGTACCTTGGTTGCGGGCACATCCCCAGTAGGGGGTGTGCAAGAGGCAGCTGATCGATGTTTCTCTCTAGCTCTCTATCCCTCTCCCTTCCTCTTTGTAAAAAAAAGAAAAAAGAAAATAGTCTGTGTTTCATCCTCCAAAGCCACAGCTACCTGCCTGAGACATGCTCACGCCCATTGACGCTGAAGTCAGATCGGACAAGGCCACTATCGTTCTCTGTCGACATCTGTGCGGTACTTTCACTCTAAAAGATTTAAAATCTTACTGGGGTCACTGTAGCTCCATGTGCAGGTGGGAGACATAACACAGAGAGAGTCTCTGTGCATTTTGCCCAGTTTCTCTCAATGGTAACACTTTGGGGTATTTGATTTTTATCACAGCAAATACCAACAACTGTCTCACACACACGGAAGGCCGAGAGGCATATGACAACGTGCTCAAAATCACCCGTCATTTCAGAGATGCAAATCAAAACAACAATGCGGTACCATCTCACACCTGTCAGAATGGCCAACATCAACAAATCAACAAACGACAAGTGCTGGTGAGGATGCAGAGAAAAAGGAACCCTCGTGCACTGCTGGTGGGAATGCAGACTGGTACAGCCGCTGTGGAGAACAGTATGGAGCTTCCTCAGAAAACTGAAAATGGAACTCCCATTTGACTCAGTGGGAGTCAATATATTCCAAGAAACCAGAAACATCAATCAGAAAGGACATAGGCACCCCTATGTTCATAGCAGCACCATTTACAATAGCTAAGATTTGGAAACAGCCTAAGTTTACCATCTACACAATGGCAAAAAAGAAGGAACTCTTACCATTTACAACAGCATGGATGGACCTGGAGAGCATTATGCTAAGTGAAATAAGCCAGTCAGAGAAAGATAAGTATCAGGATCTCCCTCACTTGTGGAATATAATGAACAACACAAACTGATGAACAAAAACAAGATCCCAAGACACAGAACCATCAAACAGACCATCAAACCTCAGAGGGAAGGCAGGGGAGAGGTGGGTGGGGTGGAGAGTCAGGGGGTAAGAGATCAACCAAAGAACGTGTATGCATATAAGCAGAACCAATGGACACAGACAACAGAGGGGTGAAGGCCGGGCTGGGGGCTGGGGGCTGGGGGCAGGCAGGGAGAGAACAATGGAGGGAAAAGAAAAAATAGGTGATATTTTCAACGATAAAGATTTTTAAAAAATATATATTTTACTGATTTTTTACAGAGAGGAAGAGAGAGGGATAGAGAGTTAGAAACATTGATGAGAGAGAATCATTGATCAGCTGCCTCCTGCACATCCCCCATTGGGGATGTGCCCGCAACCAAGGTACATGCCCTTGACCGGGATCAAACCTGGGACCCTTGAGTCCACAGGCCGACGCTCTATCCACTGAGCCAAACTTGTTAGGGCAACAATAAATAATTTTCTAAAAAATTAAAGAGACAGTATCACAAAGACGTGACATTCTCGAGATAACCACAGCACCAGCTCCTGTGGAGCCGGCGAGCGGCCCTGACCCCTTAGTTCCCATGGTGTCTGACCGTGACCGTGTGTTTTTCCGGACAACGGATCCCGCCCCGTGCTGCCCCCTGGGCGTTGGCTGCAGCGCTGACGGGCGGGGTGACAGGAATGGATTGTCTCTCCGTTCTGGAGGCCGGAAGTCCAAGATAGAGGTGTGGGCAGCATTGGTTTCTGCTGAGGGCTGCGAGGGAAGATCCAGTGCGTGCCTCTCCCCCGGTTCTGCAGTTTGCTGGCAGCCTTCGGCGTTCCTTGGTGAGTGGAAACATCACCCCGGTCTTTGCCTATGTGCTCACCTGTCATTCTCCCTGTGCCTGTCTGTGTGTGCAAATGCCCTCCCCCCCAACCTTTATAGACATTTTTATTGATTTCTGAGGGGGAAAGAGAGAAAGAGGGAGAGAAGGAGAGAGAGAGAGAGAGAGAGAGAGAAACATCAATGATGAGAGAGAATCATCCCCCACTGGGGATCCAGCCCGCAACCCGGGCATGTGCCCTTGACCGGAACCAAACCCGGGACCCCTCAGTCCGCAGGCCGGCGCTCTATCCACTGAGCCACACCAGCCAGGGCCAGATGTCTCCTTTCTATGAAGACACCAGTCCTATCGGATGAGGCCCACCCTCAGGACCTCATTTTAGCTTTCGTACCTCTGAGCGATTCTGGCTCCGGCTGCGGTCACATCCGAGGTCTCTTCGACACATAAATTCTGCGGGACACGGGCAACCTAGCCTAGCACACAGCCGTAAGCAACGTGTGAGTTCACGCAGTCTGCACGTTTTGTTCAGACCTATTGTGTGTCAGGCAGAAAAAGAGACAAACATTGGCCCCCGAGGAGCGTCCAGTGTAGTTGGGGAGTCAGCACACCCCAAGCCAGTGGAGGTGAGTAGCGAAGGGAGGACAGCCTGGCAGCGGGGTTCAGCAGCAGACCGGGCACTCTGCCGGCAGGAGGGCTGGGTCTCGCCCTCTCGGCCTCCAGCCTCCGCTCTGTCTGCTGGCCTCGCTGTCCCAGGATGCTCGGTGCGGTGGGGACGGTGACAGCGGCAAGTCCTGAGGGGCCATCCCCCCAGCTCACACGTTTCCCCCAAATCCCAGGAGAGGGTTCTGGCTGGCTCTGCCCGGGGTCACATGTCCTCCTCGCGGCCAGTCCCTGTGACCGCGCCATGCTGGGTCCTGGGCTGGCAGGCTGGCTCTCTGTGATTGGGAGCCAGAACCCCGGGGAAGGTGGGGGGCCGTCCACAGAAGGGCAGAGCGGAAAGCTGGGGCCACTCTCCGCCACTCACCACCCCCTGCACCTCCTTCCTGTTGTGGGGTCGCGAACCCTAGGTTCAAAATAAGACCACCAGAGGCTGATGATTGATTTTTAAAAAAAACAGCCAAGGATTTATGGAAAAACTGGCCGCCAGAGCACCACACGCAGGTGGAGTCCACATGACTGCACTGTCCCAGAGATAGGCGGTCTTTTTAAAGGTCCAGACCACAGGAACGTTCCTTTGTTCTGAATTCTAAATTCTAAAGGCTGGGAACAGCCCCCAGGGGACACTGGAATGTGGCCCTATCTTGCCATAGTGGATAATACAGAAGCAGAGCCGAGCAGGTTACTCTCTAAAGGTTATCTACAGTTTCTACCCCTGAAGCCACTGAGTCCCTGGGGAATCCATCTCCTGTGGTCCTGGCCCACGGGCACAGGAAAACTGCCTTAGCCTCCAGGGCTCCATCTGGAAGCTGAGGCAACTACCCTATTGTTTAAGCAGCAAGTGAGCGAGTGCCGAAGCCAGAATAGCAGGGTTAAAATTCGAACGGCAGTTTTTACCCAGGTATGGCTGCTACCAGACTTCATTTCCGCGGTCTCCGTCTCTCCCGCATCCAGCCCGCACTCAGGCACCGCCCTCTGCCCTCCAGATCCAGGAGTGGGAGGCCCGGCTCTTTGCCAGCGGCAAGGACCCCAGGGCCCCCGGGGTCTTCCTGGACCAGAAGGCCAAGACCCGGAAGAAGATCAAGATCGTGGAAGACCAGCTGGACAGGGTGAGGGTTGGCCTCGGGCTCTTCCCAGGCCGGACCTCTGGGGCTGGGGGAAGAATGAGCATGGGGTCAAGTCCTGGGAATGGGGGGCGGGGCCAAAGGGGGCCACGCAGATTCCGGGAAGGCCTGGTTGCTGGGCTCCCCGAGGGGGTCAGGAGACGGGATCCCGGAGGGATGGAGGGTCCCCCGGGGAGGAAGGAAACTGATGCTTGGGCTCTTACGGAGGGGCTGGCCGATGCTCTCAGGACCCCCCCGCCCCCCGTGGGAAGTGGGCTTCCTGTCTGAGTGTGGAGGAAGGCGGCAGGCCAGGCCTCAGACACTCTCCGGCATCCTGACCCTCCCCTGCCCCCACCCCCAGGTCACCTGCCGCTTCGACATCCAGCTGGTCCGGAACGCAGCCCTGCGGGAGGAGCTGGACCTGCTGCTGGTCCAGAGGAACCACTATCTGAACATGAACCGCAAGCTGCACAAGGTCAGCGGCCCCCGGCCCCCGGCCCCCGGCCCGCCGGGGAGGAGGGGAGGCGGGGGGCCGCCTGCTTCTTTCTAGCGCTCCGGCCTCGGGTACCAAATGGACGAAGCCATCGGCTTACTCAACGTTCTGAGGGAACGGGGACCGGAAAGCATTCCGGGACGCCTCCAAACGAGAACGCTGAGAGATGTCATTTAGACTATTATCACCCAGGGCAACCGCGGAGCCAGCCAAACCATGAGCATCCCCTGGGTTTCTCAGTAACCTTTGAAGTCCTTTGGAGAATCTTCCCTCCCTCCCTCCACCCTCCCTCCCTCCCTCTCTCTCTCTCCTTCCCTTCCTCCCCGCTCCCTTCCCTGCAAGAATAGGACAAAGAGCTGCATCTCCTTCACCAAGGCCCATCATTTGCCGCATTTACTCTGTGTAATTATTATCTTTACTGGAAATAGCTTATTTTTATATCGGCGGAACTATTGGAAGGCACGCAGCAGGCAGACACTGTGTCTCTAAGTTCAGTGTGTATTTCCTAAAAACGAGGCCACTTCCTCCCCCTCCCCCACCCTTTTATCCTCACCCAGGAATATGCTTTTATTGATTTTGATAGAGAGAAGAAGGGAGAGAGAGAGAGAGAAAGACATCAATCAGTTGCCTCCTGTATGCACCCCAACTAGGGATTGAACCCGAAACTTTTAAAAAAATATATATATATTTTATTGATTTTTTTATAGAGAGGAAGGGAGAAGAATAGGGAGTGAGAAACATCGATCAGCTGCCTCCTGCACACCCCCTACTGGGGATGTGCCTGCAACCAAGGTCCATGCCCTTGACCGGAATCGAACCTGGGACCTTTCAGTCTACAGGCTGGTGCTCTATCCATTGAGCCAAACTAGTTTCAGCGAAACTTTTTTGGTGTACGGGATGATTCTCTAACCAACTGAGCCACCAGCTGGGGCTTTTTTGTCTTTTGTGGGGTTACTAGAGGCCCAGTGCATGGATTCATGCTCTGGTGGGGTCCCTCGGCCTGGCCTGCGCCCTCTGGGACCCTCAGGGAATGTCGGATAGCTGGTTTTGGCTCAATCCTCACAGCCCCAATCCAGACAGGAGGAAGCCTGATCCTGTGGGTTGAGCATCTGTCCCCTGGTGGTCAGTGCGTGTCATAACAACTGGGCTATATATAGATGCTCTTTGATATACAGCGAGGCTCGTTTGCTTGGGCTGTGTCCAGTTTCAGGTTGTATCTCACGCCTGTCCTTGCTGGCTTAGTGTTCTCTATGGATATGTAAAGCTGGAACAGCGTTCCCAAATCAAAATCCCTCCGACAGGCATCCCAGGCCCAAACCGCTTCCTCCCCCATCTTCCACGTCGTCCCCGCCAGGCCCTTTGGTTTCCGGCTATCCCTCCTGGTTTCTTTCTGCAAAAGTAAATGTGTGTGCGTGTATATGTATATAATGTGTATGTATACAGTATGTACATGGTTATGTATGTGTGCATGTTTGTGCATTATTTATTTATTTATTTATTTATATATTTTATTGATTTTTTTTACAGAGAGGAAGGGAGAGAGATAGAGAGCTAGAAACGTCGATGAGAGAGAAACATCGGCCAGCTGCCTCTTGCACACCCCCTACCGGGGATGTGCCCGCAACCAAAGTACATGCCCTTGACCGGAATCGAACCTGGGACCTTTCAGTCCACAGACCGACGCTCTAACACTGAGCCAAACCGGCTTCGGCTTGTGCATTAGTATAATTATTTAAAAATAACTTATTGATTTTTAGAGAGAGAGAGGAAGGGAGAAAGAGAGAGAAACATGGATGTGAGAGTGCAACATCGATCGGCTGCCTCCTGCATGCCCCCTACCGGGCATTGAGCCCGCAACCCCGGGCACGTGCCCTGACCGGGAATCCAGCCTGCCACCTTCAGGTGCGTGGAACGACACCCAACCAATGAGCCACACCGGCCAGGGCTATCTGTGTCTTAGTAATACACACATGACCTACTGTGTACACACACGAGTGTGTATGTACCAGTATGTGTGTGTCTATGTACATTGTACATGCAAGAATCCATGGACACATTGTGCATGTGTAGAAATAAATCGTTCCCCTTCTGTCTCGGGAAAGAGCCCTTTTTTACTCATAAACTGCAAAGACATTTCTGTGGAAGCAGAAAACCGACGTGAATGGTCACACCATGAGAGTCTCACACACAGCCCTGGCCGGTTTGGCTCCGTGGATAGAGCCTCGGCCTGCGGACTGACGGGTCCCAGGTTCGATTCCGACCGAGGGCACATGCCAGGGGTTGCGAGTTCCATCTCCAGGGGAGGGCATGCAGGAGGCAGTGGATCCCTGATTCTCTCCCCTCACAGATATTTTTGTCTCCCTCTCCCTCTCCCTTCCTCTCTGAAATCAATAAAAAATAAAAAGAAATAAAAAAGGGACGTCACACACACCAACGTCTGAGCCGGAGCAGGGAGGTCGAGGTCGGTGCGCTCAGGCGTCCGCCGCTGCGGGATCAGCCCTGGGCGGCAGCCGCTCCTCCGCGGGGCTCTCCGCCCGCTCCCGCCCCGCAGCCCCTGATGGGAAGCTCCGCACCCCCGGGCGCCGGACTCTGCCTCTCCGGGAGCCGGCGGCCTGGGACAGACCCTCCGCTCTGTTCCCGCAGGAGATGCACTTGATGCGGCACACGCTCAGCGCCCTCACCGTCTCCTCCATCTCCGCCTACTCCATCCGGTAGGCCGCGCTTCCATCAGGCAGAGTGTGTGTGTGTGTGTGTGTGTGTGTGTATGGTGGTGGTGGGGGGGTTCTGAACCCAAGAAATGGGCCATCAGAACCCACACTGTTTTTCACGAGGCGGCCCTTTCTCTGGCGGCTCTGCCAGAAGCCAGGGGTGAGATCTGCTGGGGGTGGGGAGGGGGTGTGAGATCAGTCTGAGAGGGTGACCTGAGGCGGGGCCTCTGCCTCTCCGCTGCTCCTTCTCCGGATCCCTCTCTCCCTCCCTCCTCTCCTCCCTCCTCTTCTCCTCCTCCCCTCCCCCTCCCTCTCCCCCCTCTCCCTCCTTTCCCTCTACCTCTCCTCCCTCGCCCTCACCCTCTCCTCCCTCTCTTTCTCCCTCTTCCCCTCTCTCTCTCCCTCCCCCTCTCCCCCTCTCCTTTCCTCCTCCTCCCCCTCCCCTCCCCCTCCCTATCCCTCCTCTCCCTTTCCTTCTCCCCCTCTCCCCCTCTCCCTCTCCCTCTCCTTTCCTCCTCCTCTCCCTCTCCTCCCCCTCTCCCTCCCCTCCCCCTTTCTATCCCTCTCCTCCCTCTCCCCCTCCCCCTCCCTCTCCCTTTCCCCCTCTCTTTCCCTCTCCCTCTCCCTCTTATCCCTCTCTCTTTCCCTCTCCCTCTCCTTTCCTCCTCCTCCCCCTCTCCCTCCCTCTCCCTCAGACCCTGCGCCTTCTGAGCCCCCGCCCTGGGATCTGCACCCAAATGGTTTCCTGCCTCTTCTCAGGACCCCGTTCCTACCTCGTGACTTCCGCCTGACGGTGGCTCCTGATCCTCCTGCCTCTGGCAGCGCCCACGTCCGTCTTGTGGTTTCTGGGAGAGGTGTCCCGAGGCACACACAAACTTGCCCGCTTTATTTATTTATTGCAAACGTATCTTTAGTGATTTCAGAGAGGAAGGGGGAGGGAGAGAGAGAGAGAAACATCAATGAGGACAGAGGATCATTGATCGGGTGCCTCCAGCACACCCCGCACACTGGGGATCAAATCTGCAACTTGGGCCTGTGCCCCGACCCGGAGTCAAACCGTGACCTCCTGGCTCATAGGTGGACCCTCATCCACCGAGCTCTTGGGTCAATCTCTCCCCGCCCCTCACCCCTTCCCTCTGAGATTCCTCGGTCTGTTGCATGCTTCCATGTCTCTGGTTCTATTTTGTGAGTTTATTTTGTTCATTAGATTCCACATGTGAGTGAGGTCATGTGATACTTGTCTTCCTCTGACTGGCTTATTTCACTAAGCGTAATGCTCTCCATGACCCTCCGTGCTGTCTCAAAGGGCGAGAGGCCCTTCTTTTTCACTGCTGTATAGTATTCCGTCACGTAAAGGCACCACAGCTTTTTTATCTGCCCCTCTGCTGATGGGCACTTGGGCTGTTTCCAGATCTTAACGACTGTAAATGGTGCTGCTATGAACATAGGGTGCAAACATTCTTTCTGATGGGTGTTTCAGGATTCTTAGGGTAAATTCCTAGAAACGGGATCACTGGGTCAAATGGCAGTTCCATTTTTTAATTTTTAAAAATATTTTATTGATTTTTTTTTTTTAAAGAGAAGAGAGAGGGATAGAGAGTTAGAAACATCGATGAGAGAGAAACATCCATCAGCTGCCTCCTGCACAGCCCCTACTGGGGATGTGCCCGCAATCAAGGTACATGCCCTTGACCGGAATCAAACCCGGGACCTTTCAGTTCGCAGACAGATGCTCTATCCACTGAGCCAAACCGGTTTCAGTTCATTTTTTAATTTTTAAAAAAATATTTTTTTATTGATTTCAGAGAGGAAGGGGGAGGGAGGGAGGGGGGGAAAGAGAGAGAGAGAGAGAGAGAAACACCAGTGATGAGAGAGAACCACTGGGGACCGAGCCCATAACCTGGGTGTGTGCCCCCGACCGGAATAGAGCCCGGGACCCTTCAGTTCCCAGGTCGAGGCTCTATCCACTGAGCCAAACTGGCTGGGGCCATTTTAAGTCTTTGAGGAAACGCCATCCCGTTTCCCACAGCGGCGGCACCAGCCTGCATTCCCACCAGCCGTGCACGGGGGTCCCTTGGTCCCCACACTCGCCGCTTGTTGCCGTGTGGACGGTTGCCGTGTGGACGGTCGCCGCTCTGACAGGGGTGGGGCGGCCTCTCCTCGTCACGTTCAGCTGCATCTCCGTGACGACCAGTGACCTGAGAATCCTTTCGTGCGCCTCGTGGCCATTTCCCGTCCTCGTTGGGGAAATGTCTGGTTCAGTCTTTTGCCCAGTTTTTGACGGGGGTCGCCTGGCTTCCTTCGGTCCAGTTGTTCCAGCTCTTATTCTAGTGTGGAAGTGAACTCCTTATTGGATGTGTTTTGGGCACATGTGTGGGACGTGACCTGTGGCTTCTTCTCTCTCTGCACGCTTCTCCTCCCAGCTCCTGGTCCCATTCTTAGCATTTCCCCGGGGAACTGCCCGAGGGGGAGGGCGTGACTGGCCCACAGTAAGGTGACCAGTTGTCCCAGTTTGAAACGCCGTGGGACTCGGGCCAGATTGTTAAAAATTGGGACTGTCCCGCCAAAAGCGGGACGTCTGGTCACCTTAGCCCACAGGTCATACCTGTTGGCCTGTCTGTACGTGACCAGGACCTGGGCTCTCCCACCCTCCCCACCGACGGCCCCAGGCAGCCCCACTGGGCCAGGGGCTGGGAGGTTTCAGCTAGATGGCGGGCGGGCAGGTGTCATCACCGGCACTTCCTGTCAGCCAGGCAGTGTGTCCGGTGCTTCCTGACCCGGGGCCTGGGCCTGTCCCCTCCCCTCTCTGAGCCTCCCCTGTGACCACGGTGTAGAGCTTTCCCTGCAGGGCCTGGGTCTCGGGTGGTCGGGTCTCCCCCCCCCCTTCCGTTGGCCTGGAGCCCACAGCACAGAAAGAGCTGAGAGTCCTGATCCCCGAGGCGCTGCCACCCGAGGCAAGAGGGGTCACCCAGCCGAAACCCGTGTGGCTCAGTGGATAGAGCGTCGGCCTGAGGACTGAAGGGTCCCGGGTTCGATTCCCGTCAAGGGCATGTACCTTAGTTGTGGGCACATCCCCAGTGGGGGGCGTGCAAGAAGCAGCTGATCAATGACTCTCTCATTGATGTTTCTTTTCTTTCTTTTTTTTTTTTTTTTAGAAAAATATATTTTATTGATTTTTTTTTACAGAGAGAAAGGGAGAGGGATAGCGAGTTAGAAATATGGATGAGAGAAAAACATCCATCAGCTGCCTCCTGCACACCCTCTACTAGGGATGGGCCCGCAACCAAGGTTCATGCCCTTGACCGAAACCGAACCCAGGACCCTTCAGTCCGCAGGCCGACGCTCTATCCACTGAGCCACACCGGTTTTGGCAAACGTAAACTTCTTCGAACGCCATTTCGTGGAAGAGCCGCACTCCAGGGGCCAAAGAGCCGCCTGTGGCTTGCGAGCCGCGGTTTGCCGACCACACCTCTCATTGATGTTTCTAATTCTCTCTCTCCCTTCCTCTCTGTAAAAAATCAAATATATATATATATAAAAAGGGGTCACCCGGCTGGGCTGGGGATGCCCGGAGCCTCCGGAGGAGGGGTGACAGAGTAAGCCTTCGAGGACTTTGAACAGAACAGGAAGCTGGTGCTCTGGGCAAAGGCGTGGAGTTGGGAACAGAGCGGCCCACGGGCAGGGACCCGAGCGGACCGGCCTGCTGTCTCCCCACCGACCCCTCTGACTCTGACCCTGTGATCTGTGAAGTACGACCGGGCACTCTGCCCGCACAGATGGCTGGGCTGCATTTAAAAGTCTAGCAGCTACGTCCTGGCCGGGTAGTCAGGTGGTTAGAGCGTCGTCTCGGTACGCCAAGGCTGTGGGTTTGACCTCCAGTCAGGGCACAAGCAAGAAGCCATCAATGAATGCATCATCAAGTGCAACGACAAGTCCATGTTTCTCTCTCACACATAAGTAAATACATTTTTGTTTTATATTTTAAATACATTTTTATTGACTTTAGAGGGGAAGGGAGGAGAGAGATAGAAACATCAAATGATGAGAGAGCATATTGATCGCCTGCCTCCTGCAGGCCCCCTACTGGGGATGGAGCCCTCTGTCCAGAATCGAACCGGGGACCCTTCAGTCGGCAGGCTGTCGCTCTATCCCACTGAGCCAAACTAGCCAGGGCTAAATAAATAAAATTTAAAAAGCAGCTTAGAGCTGAAACCGGTTTGGCTCAGTGGATAGAGGTCCCAGGTTCGATTGCTGTCAAAGGCATGTAGCTTGGTTGCAGGCACATCCCCAGTAGGGGGTGTGCAGGAGGCAGCTGATCCATGTTTCTCTCTCATCGATGCTCCTAACTCTCTATCCCTCTCTCTTCCTCCCTGTAAAAAAATCAGTAAAATATATTTAAAAAAATAAAAAGCAGCTTAGAAGCTCCCTTCTCAGATGTGCAGCCAGGGGAGGCTCAGGAGTGAGGCTTCTAGGCTCAGGGGAGGCTCCGGAGTCCTAGCAGGGAGTGTGCACAAGTGCTGGTGACACCACTTACCTGTCCAAGATGAGGTCCTGGGCGGCCCAGCCCCTTTCCTTCCAACCACACGCCCCCTTCCCCCGCTCACCACACTCCAGCTCGCTGACCTCATCACCTGGCTGCCCCCTTCCAGGCCTGAGTGTCTAACTGTATCGCCAGCCTGCTCCCTCCCTCCCACCTCCCCCCCGCCCCTGCCAGGCGCCCCCCATAACGCCCGCCTCCCGGGTGCCCAGCCCTGCCTGGGTGCCAACCAAAGAGGGGGTGCAGGCGGTAATAAAGAACAGGAAGCTTTCCTGTGAGCGGAAGGAGTGCAATCAGGGAGACGCAGGTTCAGGCAGCAGCTCAGTGGCTCTGGAGAGAACAAAGTGCTGGTTTGTACCTTGAGGCTCGGCCTCCCACGGCGTTTAGCAGCTTAACAGCCGCTCCGGGGCCGAGGCAGAGGCGCCCGCCCCCGCCCCATAGCCTCAGAGCCGACGTGAGCGGCTCCCCGACCCACGCCGGTTCCCACGGTCAGCTCGTGGGCAAGGCCGTCAGCCCTTTACCGGGCCTGGCACCCCCGGGCCCGACTCCTGACCCGCCTCGGGAACCTAGAAAGTTCTCTGTCTTTTGTGACCTCAGGGAAACAGCACACTGAGTCTGCCCGGCCCATCCCTGCGACCCCAGGTGGACCCCGCCCATCCACCCCGCACCCCAGACTGCGCCCACCCACCCCTGGGACCCCAGGTGGACCCCACCCATCCACCCCGCACCCCAGACTGCGCCCACCCACCGGTCCCCGGGCCCCCAGGCTGATTCTAACCCCGCCTCCGATCCCCCCCCCCCCCCCCCCCCCCCCCCCCCCCCCCCCCCGGCGCAGGGAGGAGGCCAAGACCAAGATGAGCATGCTGCGGGAGCGCGCCGACAAGGAGGGCGTCCAGAACGAGACGGAGGTGCAGATCCTGCAGCGCCAGATCGCGCACCTGGACCAGCTGCACAGCTTCCTGCAGCTCAAGAACCACGACCGGCAGGCGGACCCGGTGGTCCTGGAGAAGCGCGAGAAACGCGGTGAGGCCGCCGCCCGCTCTGCGCCCCTGTCCCCCCTGTCCCCCAAGGCCGGGCCGCGGAGAGGGCGGGGCGGGCGCCCGTCTCCGGGTCTCAGGGCGCACGGCCGGGGCCCGCCTGCAGGGGGCGCCGGGGAGCAGGGGCCCTGGGGCTGGGGGCGGGGGGCGCCCACCTTCACGGCCCCCGTGCTCCCAGCCGAGAGCCTGCGGAAGACGTCGCAGGAGAGGCTGGTGCTGCGGTACGAGGACACCCTGAGCAAACTGTACCACCTGACGGGGGAGAGCGACCCGGAGCTGCTGGTGAACAAGTACCTGGAGAGTGAGTTTCCGCGCCGCCGGGAGGGGGCGGTCGCGGCCCGCGCACCCCGCTGCGCCCTGGTCCCCGACGGCTCCGGGGACCCTCCGCCGCCGCGGGGAGGAGCGGGCGCTCCCACAGCCGCCTCCTGCGGCCGCTTCTGCGCCACCCCACTCCTCTCGCTTCTGCCTGTCCCCTCGCCTCTGCATCTCTGTCCCTTCCGTGTCTGTATCGCTGTCTTTTTAAATTTTATTTTATTTTATTTTATTGATTTTTCACAGAGAGGAAGAGAGAGGGATAGAGAGTTAGAAACATCGATGAGAGAGAAACATCGATCAGCTGCCTCCTGCACACCCCCTACTGGGGATGTGCCGGCAACCAAGGTACATGCTCTTGACTGGAATCGAACCTGGGACCTTTCAGTCCGCAGGCCGATGTTCTATCCACTGAGCCAAACCGGTTTCGGCAGCTGTCTTTTTTTTTTTTTTTTTTTTTGGTCTTGTTTTTGTTTTAAATATATTCTTACTGATTTCAGAGAAGAAATGAGAGAGATATAGAAACATCCATGATGAGAGAATCATGGATCGGCTGCCTCGGGCACCCCCTCCCCCCGCACTGGGAATGGAGCCCACAACCCGGGCATGTGCCCTTGGCCAGGATAGAACCGGGGACTGTGTGGCGGCTGTCTTTTTGTTTCTGTGGGGTTTCTCTGGGCTTGGCCTGTCTCCTGCCTCCCCCATGCCCTGCTCCTGGGCCTGGGCCTCGCTCTCCGAATCCCCCCCCCTTCACCCCGATTCTCCCCGATTCTCCCCGGTGTCCCCGCCGCTGCCTGCCTGTCTCCCTCACGTCTACTCTGGGTCTTTGTGTCTCTCTCTGCGGCTCTCTCTCTCTCTCTCTCTCGCTCTCGCTCTCGCTCTGGCTCTCCGTTTGATTCTCTGCATCCCCTTTCTCTATCTCTGTCTCTCTGTCTCTCTATGTGTGTCTCTCCATCTCTGTCTCTCCGTCTCGCCTCCGTGCTGTCTTTCTCAGCACCCCCCTCTCTGTCGCAAGCCCCGCTCCTCTTCGCTTCTGGTTCTGTATCTCCCGCGCCTCTGACTCTGTGTCCCGGACCCCCCTTCCCGCTCAGTGGAGGAGCGCAACTTTGCCGAGTTCAACTTCATCAACGAGCAGAACTCGGAGCTGGAGCGTCTGCGGGAGGAGATCCGGGAGGTAAGGGCCGCGCGTCCGCCTGTCCGTCCGGAGCCCCTGCCCCTGGCCTCGGCCCCGCCCCCTCCGCCGCGGCGGCCGGCCCAGCTTCGCCCTCGCCCGCAGATGCGGGAGGCCATGAAGACGGCGCGCACAGGCCACCTCGCCCGCCGCTCGCTGAAACAGGAGCTGCAGGCTTCGGTGCTGGAGCAAATAGCGGAGTTGCGCTCTGACGCCGACAGCCTGGAGGCCCGCGCCCAGAAGCTGAGGGAGCAGGTGGAGAAGTTCAAGGCCGGTGAGCACCTGCGCCGCCTGCCTCTTCACCGGGGCGCACGCGATGAGCACGCGGCGGGGCCAGGCCTCTGCTGGCCATTGGGAGAGTTCCAGGCGTTAGCCTGTGCACTCACTCACTCTCCGCATATCCACCATCCATCCATCATCCATCCATCATCCATCCATCTAGTACCCATTCATCCATCATCCATTCATCAGTATCCATCCATCCACCATCCATCCATCATCCATCCATCATCCATCCATCTAGTACCCATTCATCCATCATCCATCCATTAGTATCTATCCATCCATCCATCCATCCATCAGTATCCATCCATCCATCTATCTATCTATCTGGTACCCATCCATCCATCATCCATCCATCCATCCATCCATCCATCTGGTATCCATCCATTAAGTATTCATTCATCCACCCATCCATCATCCATCCATTCATCCACCCATCCATCATCCACCCATCTATCATCCATCTGGTATCCATCCATCCAGTATTCATTCATCTACCCATCCATCATCCATCCATCCATCCTTCCATCCAGTATTCCATCCTCCATCCATCCATCCATCCATCCATCCATCCATCCATCCATCCATCTAGTATCCATCCATCCACCAGTATTGATCCATCCATCCATCCATCATCCATCTATAGTATCCATCCATACATCTAGTATCCATTCATCCTTCCATCCATCCATCTAGTATTCATCCATCTATCCATCCATCCATCTAGTATTGATCCTTCCATCCATCCATCTAGTATTCATCCATCCATCCACCCATCCATCTAGTGATCATCACCCTTACACGCCCTAACCAGGGATCAAATTGCAACCTTTTAAATATATATATTGCCGAAACCGATTTGGCTCAGTGGAATGAGCGTCGGCCTGGGGATTGAAGGGTCCCAAGTTCGATTCCGGTCAAGGGCACGTACCTGGGTTGCGGGCACATCCCCAGTGGGGAGCGTGCAAGAGGCAGCTGATCGATGATTCTCTCTCATCGATGTTTCTAACTCTCTATCCCTCTCCCTTCCTCTCTGTAAAAAAAATCAATAAAATATTTTTTAAATATATATATATATATATATATAATTGATTTTTACAGAGAGGAAGGGAGAAGGAGATTGGTTGCCTCCTGTATGCCTCCCCACCCCCCTGGAATCAAGCCTGCAACCCGGGCCTGTTCCCTGGCTGGGAATACAACCATGACCTGCTGGTGCATAGGTCCATCCTCAGCCTCCCCCGCAGGCTGGCCCGCCGGCCGGCCGGGCTCAAACACAAAACCTCACGGTGTGTGGGACTGTGCTCTAACCACAGAGCCACCCGGCCAGGGCCTTCATGAACAGCAGCATTAACTAAGGGACATAGCACCCCGCACCGCCCGTCCTCCGAGGGGGTCATGATAATGGCTCACCCCAGGGGTCTCAGGCTCCTGGGTGTGAAAACAAAGCCAAAATAAAATTTAAAAAAAGAAGAAATTTAAAAAAAAGAAAGAAAAAGAAACCAAGCCGGGCGCCTGCGGGGGAGAGGCCGTGAGCTTCGGACCCGATGGGGGCTGGGCCGCCCCTGAGCTGTGTGTGGGGTCTCCCCGGGGGGGCGCCTTCCGCTTGTCCCTGCCACCTCACGGCCGCCTGCCGCGGCCCCCAGCCCGCCCGCGGCCCCGGGTCTGCCCGTGGGGAGTCTTCCAGCTGCGGTTCCACAGACGGGCCCTGGGGTCTCGGGGGAGGAGAGGGCTGGCCCCGCGGGCACCGGCTTGGACAGCCTGTCCCCGCCCCGGCCCCGCAGCCATCCAGCAGCTCTTCGCCAAGGCCCGCTGCGACAGCACCATCATAAACGACCTCCTGGGGGTCAAGACCTACATGCGGGACCGCGACATCGGCCTCTTCCTGAGCCTCATCGAGAAGCGGCTGGTGGAGCTGCTGACGGTGCAGGCCTACAAGAACGCCCAGGTGGGGCCGGGAGTCCCAGCCCGGGGGGCGGGGGGCAGGGGGCGGGGGCGGGCCTGGCCTCACCCCCGCTGCTCCCTCCAGAGCTTCACCATGTCCAGCTTGTCCATCGCCGCCCTCACGGTGCTGGGCCAGAGCCCCGAGGACCAGCCCAAGAAGGTGGCCCCGCCCCAGCTCCCCGACAACCTGTGAGCACCGGTGGGGGGTGGGGGGGAGGAGGGACCAATGGCGAGCAGGAGCCTGGGGGGGGGGTGCAGAGGGGGGCTCTTTGGGACCAGAGGGAGGCTGTGGCTCTGGGGGAGCAGGGGACGGATGGAATGGGCGCTTCGGGGACCAGAGGGGAGCGGGGAGGGCCGTCCCGCGGACAGAGCGCGGCCACGGGGCACGCCGTCCGCCCCGTGTGGGTGCAGGATGCAGCCCCTTCCTGCCGCGCCCCTACTTTAGGGAGGAGCCCCCAGGCTTTGAGGGCAAAGAGGACTATCCTCTGAGCAAGGAGGAGCTGCTGAGCTACGTGATGAAGTCGGTGAGAACTGAGAACGGGCCGCCTGGGCTGGCGGGGGGGGGGGGGGGGGCGGGGCTCAGCCCTCCTGGGGCCTCACTCCCCCGTCCTCCCCGCGCCCTCCTCCCTCCTCCCCCGCCTCCCCTCCCCCGCAGATGGAGGCGCGGGAGCTGGTGCGGGAGCAGCACCAGAAGGAGATGATGGAGATGGCCAAGAAGATGGACAGCAGCCCGCCCCTCCCGCTCCCGGCCACCCACAGGGCCAACTCGGGCACCCCGCTGGCCCTCTCCCAGAGCCCGAGCACCGGGCCCCCGTCGGTCCTGAGCCACCGGGCGAACGGCATCCTGGTGTCCAGCCGCCCCCCCAGCTCCAACGTGGGCCATGTCACCTTCGGCGAGCCCGACGAGGTGGGCTCGGCCAGCCAGGTCTTCACCAGCGGCCGCGTGGCCTTCCGGCCCGTCAGCTCCAGCAGCTACCTGGGCTCCACCGGCTACCTGGACTCCAGCGGCGGCGGCGCCGAGAGCGCGGGCGGCCTGCCCAGCAAGGGCACCGGCTCCGAGTCCAGCCCCGGCCCCACCTCCAGCGCCGGCCCGGAATCCGTGGCCAGCCAGGAGTCCTGAGGCTGCAGCGGGCCACCCACCCCTCCCTGCTCTCTGCAGGGCGAACGGAGCGTTTCTGCCCCCTATTGCCCCCCTCCTCCCCCATTGTGCCTGCGACTCCACCTTCCTCTCCCAGCTCCAGCCTCTGCCCGCTCAGCTGTCCCCGCCTCCCCTTCCCGTGTCCCCGGGCCCATTGCCACCGGCTCGCCCTCACCTCCTCTGCTTCCTGGTTTCTCTCTCTGTTCCCGCTCTGCCTTCCCTCTCTGACTCCCCCGGCTCCTGTTCTCAACGGTTTCCCATTCGCAGCGTGTCTGTCTCCTCCAAAGTCCGTCCCTCTCCCCATCTCTGCCCACTTCTCTGGTTCTCCTCCCTCCTCCTGTTTCTGCTTCCCTGTTTCTAGTTCCTGCTCATCTCCATTCCCCAGGCTCTCCCGGCTGAGGTCCCTGTCTCAGTAGCTCCCCATTCCTCGCCCTTCCCGTGAGCCCCCAGCCCCGAGCCCGAGGAAAGAATCAATCGGAGCAGAAAGTTCAGGAAATAAAGGGCAGAGCCCAACTTTACCCCAGCCTGGTAACAAGTGTCTGTGCGAGAGAGGAATCTAGACACGGCTGTTTCTTGAGCTCCAGCCCAAGGGGAAACTCATGGCCCTATTCATTCATTCATTCATTCATTCATTCATTCGTTTTGTTGAGGCCTCCCCATTTCAGGCACTCCTGAGAGCTGGGCACTGTATCAGTCAGGATAGGCTGTTTGGCTGCAGTAACAAACAACCCCAGCATCTCAGTGGCTTAAAGCAACAAAGGTTTATTTCTGGCCAGAGTCGGTGGCCTATTGAGGGTCAGCTCAGGGCTCTGCTCCTCCCATCCTGGTGTCCCAATGGCTGTCGCTGGGAAAGAGAAAACGGCAAAGCTGCCATGACTTCTCAGTCTCCGGCCTGGACACCACACATATCACGTCCGCCCACAGGTGTTGACCCCAGCAGGTCAGGTGACCACACCACTCCGAAGGGTGGTGGGAAGTGCCGTCTGGAAGGAGAGGAAAATGGATGTTTGTGGAGCCCTGGGCCTGCCCCCGGGTCACAGATAAGGTAGATTGTGTCCCTTGCCTGCTGTGGGCAGGTTTGAGAGTGAGGATTCCAACGTCACAGGTAACGCTTTCCTGCCATTGTCAGATGTCCTGTCACACATTTTAAAAAAATAGTTTTGATTTTTAGAGAGAGAGAGGAAGGGAGAGAGAAACATTGATGTGGTAGAGAAACATCAATTGGTTGCCTCCTGCACCTCCCCCTCCCCCACCGGGGTCAAGCATGTAACCCAGGCATGTGCCCCGGCCGGGAACAGAACTGGCACCAGACAACACCCAACCAACAGCCATACCTGCCAGGACACCCTGTCAACATGTAACACAACCAAATCAAGACGGAGAATCCATCCCCCTCCTCCCCAATCCAGGAGGTAATACTCCGAGTCCCCTTCTCCTCCAATGGGTTGATAACAGTCCATACCTTCGAGGAACATTTTTGAAAATGAAAAGAATCGCGGCCAGGCCCGGGGGAGCAGCCGGGTCAGGTGCGGCCAGGCCCGGAGCAGCGGCTGCCGGGCTGGGAGCGGCCAGGCCCGGGGGAGCAGGCGGGTCGGGTGCGGCCAGGCCCGGAGCAGCGGCTGCCAGGCTGGGAGCGGCCAGGCCCGGGGGAGCAGCCGGGGCTGGTGCGGCCAGGCCCGGAGCAGCGGCTGCCAGGCTGGGAGCGGCCAGGCCCGGGGGAGCAGCCGGGTCGGGTGCGGCCAGGCCCGGAGCAGCGGCTGGCAGGCTGGGAGCGGCTAGGCCCGGAGCAGCAGCAACCAAGTCCAGAGCAACTAGGTCGGGAGCGGCAGTGACCAGACCCGGAGCAGCTGATTGTGGAATGAACCAGAGCAACAGAGGCCAGGCCCTGAGCAGCCAGGCCCAGAACAGCTCGCTCCTTGCCTGCCCCTGCCCCACGGCTGCTTCTCAGACATGGCTGGAAACTTTCGTGGGAACTTGAGGGTCTGCTGAATCAAGTGATGAAGGCTTAGATCTGGATGTGTTGAGTTAGTTTAGGACTGGGGTGTTGATCTGTGAGTGCCTTGGGTGGGGCCTGGATGAGGCTGGTTGACCTAGAGGGAAATGTCTTTTGTGTGAAGTGTATCATTGGGCATGTGGAGGTATTATGGATATGAGAAAATGCTAAATAACTGATTTACTATCTGAAAAGGGATTTACTATCGGGGAAATTGAGGGAAGAAGAGACTGAACATAAACTGCACCTATGGATGAGGACAATGGGGGGGGGCGGAGGGTGGGGTGGGAACCTGGTGGAGGGGGGAAGAAATGAGGAACCTTTGTAATAATATGAACAATAAAGATTGATAAAAAAAAAAAAAAAATGTTTTGAGCTGAAACCGGTTTGGCTCAGTGGATAGAGTATCGGTCTGCGGACTGAAAGGTCCCTGGTTCGATTCTGGTCAAGGGCATGTATATTGGTTGCGGGAACATCCCTGGTGGGGGGTGTGCAGGAGGCAGCTGGTTGATGTTTCTCTCTCATCGATGCTTCTAGCTCTTTATCCCTCTCCCTCTCTGTAAAAAAATCAATAAAATATATTTCTAAAAAAAAAAAAAAAAAAAAAAAAAAAAAAAAGAAAATGAAAAGAATCGGTACATGCAGTAAACGCTAATACATCTGTGATTCTGAGTGTGATGACAACAAATTAAGCAGTGTTTCCTTACCTGTCAGACAAACGGGTTGCTCTCCCTTCACCTGACCCTCCGACCGGGTAAAGCTTATCCAGTGGTCTGCTGGTAAATGCGTAACAACAAGCTCTTTGGGAAAAAGTCCTGGTTTGTAGCATGGACCCGTTCCTGGGGTATAACAATAGCCATCTCCCATTCCTTTTGTTCCACGTGAAGACCTGCATTTTCGAACCGAAGCTCTGGAACGCCATCCTATATAATAAAAGCCTAATATGCTAAGTGTCCAACTGTTTGTTTGACCATTTGACCAGTCACTATGATGTGCACTGACCACCAGGGGACAGATGCTCCAGCCGGTAGGTTAGCTTGCTGCTGGGGTCTGGCTGATCAGGACTGAGCGAGATGGCCTGGACATGCCCTGGAGCCAACATCTCGCGGTCCCTCCCCAGTGGCCAGCCAATCTCCCTCCGTCCCACCCCGGCCTCTAAAATATTCTAGTTAGTTTCCTCTCAATGTGCACAAATCAGTGCACCAGGCCTCTAGTTAATTTATATACATATACAGCGTAGGAAAACAGCTGACCCACACAATGCAATCTTATTGGCAAAAGTGGAGAAAAGGCTGACTTAAATTATACTCAATAGCACTAAAACCTGGAATATTTCGTGATTTCCCCGGGAAGGAGGCTGACCCAGGCACTGCGTGCGACATGCACGCTGTGTGGCCTTGGCTGAGTGTCTTCACCTCTCTGAGCTCAGTTCCTCTTTCGGAAATCAGAGCTGGCAGTAAATCCTGAAAAATGTCACGGGAGCGTGGTCTGAGTACCAGCCCTTTTCCATCATTTGTGAGCAGGGATGATCTAGGACAATGGAAACTATCTTGCCTTCTCAGTGGAGACTCAGCTAGGCAGCATTTAAAAATAGAAATAGCCGAGACCGGTTTGGCTCAATGGATAGAGCGTCGGCTTGGGGACTGAAGGGTCCCGGGTTCGATTCCGGTCAAGGGCATGTACCTTGGTTGCGGGCACATCCCCCGTGGGGGGTGTGCAAGAGGCAGCTGATCGATGACTCTCTCTCATCGATGTTTCTAACTCTCCATCTCTCTCCCTTCCTCTCTGTACAAAATCAATAAAATATATTTAAAATAAATAAAAAAAAAGAAATAGAGCCCGAACTGGTTTGGCTCAGTGGAAAGAGCATCCGCCTGTGGACTGAAGAGTCCCAGGTTTGATTCTGGTCAAGGGCATATGCCTGGGCTGCCGGCTTGATCTCCAATAGGAGACGCACAGAAGGCAGCCAATCAATGATTCTCATCATTGATGTTTCTATCACTCTTTCCCTCCCCCTTCCTCTCTGAAATCAATGAAGATATGTATTTTATTTTATAAATATATTTTATTGATTTTTTTACAGAAAGGAAGAGAGAGGGATAGAGAAACATCGATGAGAGAGAATCATCCAACAGCTGCCGCCTCCACACCACCCACTGGGGATGTGCCCGCAACCAAGGTACCTGCCCTTGACCAGAATCGAACCTGGGACCCTCCAGTCCGCAGGCCGACACTCTATCCACTGAGCCAAACCGGTTTCTGGCAGATATGTATTTTAAAATAAACAAATAAAAATAGAAATAGAATAAAAAAGCATGATGCAGGGCAGGGTGGCATTTCACGAAACCGTGTTGCTGATGGGAAATGACTTCTGGATGTTCCTCAGGAAAGTTTGGAAACCGCTGGTCCAGGGCTCCCCGCTTGGTATACTGATTTCCAGCTAACTGGCCCTTCACCTCCAGTAGTCACTCCCTTCCTCCTAAAGCAAACATTTCCGGTTCCGGCCGCGCTGGCCTACAGCGATCCGCCGCCAGGTGGCGCCCGTGCCCCGCCCTGAGCGGGTTCTGCTCTGTCTTCATCTCTGAAGATGTGCCTTTTCCTGAAAATTCCGTAGAAATGGAATCATACAATCCGGGTTTATGCAAAATACTCTGGTACGGATCACACAATGTGGATCGTACAATCCAGCGATTCCACTTCGATGCTTCCCATCAGGAGAAGTGGTGGTTTTATCGGCAGTGTCTGCAGTATCTACAGTGAGTACACAAGGCTCTCCAACAGGAAACTTAACTAAAAGGTAACCCACAGCTGAAACCGGTTTGGCTCAGTGGATAGAGCGTCGGCCTGCGGACTGAAAGGTCCCAGGTTCAATTCCGGTCAAGGGCATGTACCTTGGTTGTGGGCGCATCCCCAGTGGGAGGTGTGCAGGAGGCAGCTGGTCCATGATTCTCTCTCATCGATGTTTCTAACAGAACAAGTAACCCTGCCA